GGAGGAGACAACCACTTGGGCAGGGGTGCCATCCCGATTTCCCTTTTCTCAGATTACCAGAACGCGATCTCACTTTACTTGTCTTTGGCTTGACAGGCGAGGCAGCATCTCTCTTCCGTTTCTCATTACTTGATGCCTCTCTCAATTCCCTCAGTTCTTTCTCGGCCCTTAGTATTCTAAGCTCTTCCATGTCACTGTCTGATAGTTTTGACTTCCTTTCTGCCACATCTAGTTTCTCCGTGAGTATTCTCAATGAGCTCCCGAAATTCTCTGTAACCCACTTCTTCATATCATCCTCTTTCCCATCATCTGCCACCTTCCCTTTCCCTTTGTCTTTCCCCTTCCCTGCTTGCTTGGTTCCCTCTTTCATCTTGCTATTCGCCCTTTCGCCAACCTTTCCAAGTTCACTCAATCTCTCAATTTCCTCCCGATCCTTCTTCCTTGCTTCTTCCACAGCTTCCTTGAATTTCAATTTATCAATAAAATCCACATGCTCTTTTGTAAAGAAAGCTCGAGGTTGGTAATTACCACCGTTCCCTCTCCCAAACCCTTGATTATATTGCCCCGTTCCAGCCGTCGGAGCTACATTATGCCCCGGATAACCCCGAGGGGCTGCTGGGATCAATGGTGTGAAGCTCTGTTGTACGGGTGTAAATCCAAATGGAGGAGGAGGCGGGAGAAAAGGTTGCTGATAAGCATTCACCGACGGTTTGTATGGAGGGATAGGAGGTTGGCCAGGTTGCTGCACTGGAGGAACTGAGTTTTCCATCCAGTATCTCTCGCAGTTCGACCAACGACCTCGTCCTCTACCTCTCCCGTACGCACACATGCGTTTACTCCACCCAATCAACCGATCAACCAATCAAACCTTTACTACCCAGAAAGCCCGGCCTCCCCCAATTAACCAATCGCCCTTACTAGAGGCTAGGCCCCCACAGACTAGCCAACAAACCACCTCCCTCGCGTGTTTCAATGCCAAATGTAACGCATTAGGCAACCCCGTATCTTCGACGAATCCAAGTGGTGGGGGGCTAATGTCGCCCGATGCTGCAACCACTGACCAGACGCCCGCAACTGGCACAAGGCCCACGCCACCACGCCGCAGTCAGTATCAAGGTAACAACAGCGATATCGTCGCCACGTCGCACGAGCCCCATCACCACGCCAATCCGTCTGAGATATCTATATATGCAGAGGAATAAGTCAACCCCAATATCCAGGAACCGACACATCAATCTACGACTGCAGCATCACACCGTAGTCATTGATCAGGACCGATTTATCACTACTCCCGCTCAACGACACTCACCATAAATTCGCATTAAAACTTCGTTTGCACCCACAATCATCCCCAAACATAGTATAACATTCACCGCAATCGCTAGGTTTAACCAGGCGAGATCCCAAACTCAGGCGAACTCCACATCATCACGTGTTAGTCCAGTTGTACATGTGTGCAAATTCGTCCCCTTTCTAGGCATCTCCCTCGCCTTTGATCAAAATCTGACAATCGCAGAACATACTCCCGTAGTCTACCCCCTACTCCCGCTCGTCAAGATGTCGCTGCGCTTCCAATTCTCCTACCAGTTGCGTGCCCGCCGCTACATCAGAGTTCCCCTGTTGGCCAAGATAGAGTCGTGACTCCAGCCGCAATGCTTGGAACAGAAGCGATGTCCGCTGTTCTAGCCACCACGCAATCGACGAAAACGATGAAAAAACTCCAAGAAACATCAACACAAACCAATGGCTAACGGCGCTACATGACCGTTCCCAGGCTGCCCGCGAGGTCGATCGTGCAGTTCCCACGCATGATACAAAATGAAAAGTGTTCCTGGACTTTACATCTCACARCATGAAACACTTCTCGTCACCGTGCAGCGCCACGGTGCTCTACCCTTCTGTCCAATACTGCTCAGGTAAAGAGGAGTAAACACTCCAAGGCTCTAGTTTTATCCTACWTTCATCCTACTCCCTTGTGGCCGTGAGGCTCATCACTRCGCCGTCAAAAAATTCCCGTTTGCAAAAAGCCAGTAAGCAGGTATGAACAGCTCAAGCGCCGCCGGCCTTGGTCACCCTGAAATTCCGAAAGAAAAGAAAAAGAAACGAAAAAAGAAAAAGAAAAAAGAAAAAAGAAAAAAGAAAAAAGAAGAAAACGAAAAGAGGAGCAAAAACCTTTGTGGGGTCCAGCAGGCACTCGTACTGTCTGCCGCGGCAAGTAGGCGGAAATTGCCCCATCTGTATTGGATGCTGTGCTGCGACCAGTGCGCTTGCGGGGCGCGTTGAGGTGAAGAGGGGCGCTGCATGGCATCGGTGCGCTGGCAGCCATAGTCGGGCTGCTGGGTTTAGGGGGTAAGAGGGGGCGATCCGGTGGTCTTCAAGGAAGGAGGCGAGTGTGTGGGTTATCAAGGTCGGATGAGGGTGACGAGATACGTACCCGGTGCATGAAGAGAGGTCGACTATGGTGTTGATATCATGTACATTGGTCTTCGAGTGTTGAAATGAGCTTGTTGCGTGAACACAACTGTAGGTAGGATAGTTGAGTAGAGTAGGTTAGGCGTTGGGCGGTAGATAGAGAGGAGCGGATACTGTGTTGGTGTGGCCTGAGGGCTTGAACATTGGCTCATTACTTCATTGTATTGCTCTATTTGGATGGATTCTCGGTGAAATTGTGCTCTTTGCTTGTACACGACTACTTGGACTTCTGTGTGATTTCGCAAACTTGGTTTTCTGTATATCGTTCACTCTCATATTCCTGGCAATTTGGTATTAGAGCTGGTTAGTGATCGCCACTTACCTGACGCTGGCAACATTGTTACTTGGTGCGCTGACGATGCTTCATGTGCAGTAAGGATACTTCGGCGTTGGCTTGATAGAGGGGGGCCCAGGTAGAGGGGCCAGCCGCCGGAAGGCTGTGGCGACATTGTGGGAGTTGTGGCGACAGCGGGTGTATGTATGATGATGAGAGCATGCTGATGTGGCATTGTGGCTGAGGTGGCACTGCATCACGTTGTGGGTGGTACCGAGGCTATTGACCGGTCATCGAAATGCACATCGGCCCAATTGGTGAGAAATTTGTGGTTGGGGCCCTTGGGGGCAGCTATCTCTAGGTACGTTGTTCCCATTCCTTATCTACCCTCTCAATCTCTTCTTACCGTGAGGAAGTGAGTCCAACCTTGAGTGTCCTCTCTTTGGTGAGGAGTTGTGTGCGCTCTATCTTGAGAGACGACATTCTTCTCGGTGGCGCATCTGGCAGAAGAGGGCGGTGCCTCTTCGACCATGGGTCACGATCACTATGCTAACCCATGGGAGTAGTACACGTAGGCCATGCTGCTTTGTCCTTTGAGGTTCTTTGCTGCACTGATAGAAGGGGTGTGCGGACTACGAATGGAGGTCATTTAGTACCCAATGCTTGGCAATCTTTTGTTGAAATGATTTATGAATTCGTTCCAGTCCTAAGCAGACGCTCCCAGACCGTTTATAAACATTTTTTGGTTGGGATTTGAACTGTCCACTGGCTGTGATCGTCATCCTGATTGCGACGTTAAATAATTCCTGAGGATTGTTGGGGGTTGTCCTTAAATTACCTCTTGATCAGCCAAATCAGTCGGACGTAAGGCTCGTTGCACGCAAGGGCAAATAACGGGCAGGCTGGTCATAAGCATACGCCTTGGGCACAGGGTGGGCCGATAATGCACACCTTAGACATCGTCGCTTGATGATGCTCACAGGCATGTTGGATACAGGGGAAGGAGATTCCAATTGAGGACTCGATTACACTATCATACTAACATACCCATTGTGCATACATCTGCTCACATTAGTTTATTTTTACTTCGATTAGTTGGTTGACAGACTGCGGACACCTAATAGACAGCCTAGAGTAGGACTGTAATCTACCATAGTCAGCTCTTCTCAAAGTTTCTTTAAGAGAACTAATCAGGATAGGAGTAGACTATGTGTACAATCTGTGTAGAATGTTGTTGATGTTGCTTGACTGGTAGTCTAGGTAACTCGTCGGACATTAATTTATTTTATTTATTTTTAGAAGCGGTCAGACGTGTAGGTCCAAGGGAGGACACTAGTGCAGACATCGTCTACCCAACTGATGAGCGGATCAGAGGGTGGTGAAGGTACAACTGACGATAGGAGGCAGACACGACGGGATAAAGGAAGGACCCCCGTAGTGTTCCAGTTTCTACTACCAGGGGCTGAGAGAAGGCTAAGGGCCGAAGCAAGGGCCCGTAATCCGTAATCTAGGGACTGCAAGAGAGGCAACAACAGCGGTAGAACGGGCGTTGGCAGCAGCAGCAGCTAGCGCGGTAGCAATGGCTACGTCTTCAGCCACTTCTGCTGTGAACTCAACTGGTTAGCGTATGGGCATGTCGCCCAACTCGACCAGTTCGCAAGTCGTCTCCAGTACGTCAGGAGTTGGCTCCAGTCAAATGACGGGCGTGCAGTCCAGCTCGCCGCCTCCACTCACCCGGGAGCAAATGGAGCTCCAACAAGTAGAAAGGATTCGCTTAAGGCTAGAGGAGGAACTTAAAAAGGTTACTAAAAGAGAGAAAGAGATTAGAGAAAGGAGTGTCAGACTAGAGGGTAGGGAGGCAGACATAGCTGCACTAGAGTGTTTGGATGACTCGACCCTGAACTCTACTGGAAAGATTCTTAAGGCGAACATCCAGTCCATGCATGCGTACATGGACAAAAATTGGACGCCATGCAGGATACCCTGGACCAGATTTTGCAAGCCCTACATAGGCCGAGAATCAGGCAAGCAGCTTTGCCATCGCTGCCATTCTCAACGATGACAGGCCCCTATGTCGCTCATTCCGGACCAACACCAAGCGGTACGTCAACAGCAGCCATGTCTCAGACTGTTGCTTCTTCATCTTCTAGTCGAGCGGTTGGAGCTATACCACAACCGCCACCTGTCTCACCAGTGGGACAACAACAAGCATGGTACCCCAAGACCCCACTGAAACCACCTCCAACCTTCTCAGGAGATAAGAAGGATGAGGCGCTTGACACTTGGTTGAGAACGGTTCCACTGTGGGTCAGGGCTAAGAGGATGCTGGTAGAGGAGGAGGTGATAACTGTTGCATCCTACTTAGAGGGTTCAGCAACTCTCTGCCTTAATGGATTGGTGGCTTCCAAGGGTTTCGGCAAGAACATGGGTGATTGGGCGAAGACGCACACCCTGGAGAGCTTTATGGACTTGGTAGAGGCGTGGTGGCACCACCCTCAGCAGGCGCAGATAGCCACTGATGGGTTATTGGAACTTGATGCTAGGAAGTACAAGTCTGTGCGCGAACTCACCACGTCGTAGAGCGTTTGATTGTCGTCCCAGGCGTGGAGTACAATCCACAGGTCTTGCTGACCATGTTCTTGAGGTGTCTTCCCACAGACATCAAGAACTTGTTAGCCAGCGAGGCTCGCTTGAGTATCACACGTTTGAGACCTTCAGCAAGAAGGCTCTAGACTTAAGAGGCTACGTTGGGTGGTGCTCAGACCCCCCCTACGGACGGGAGAAAGAAGAAAGCTCCACAAGAGTGGAAGAAAAAGGGTAGTCTACTGATGATGCTTGATTCCGACAGGAATCAAACTGAGATCGATGATGTCTCTGACCTTGTGGAGGTTTCAAAGTTAGACGGCGAGGATAGTGTTGAGGGTAGCAACCTCGCCGCAGTAGTTAAGACTAAGGCAGGTGGCTGCGTCAAGGGCGGTCAACAAAAGAGTCAGGGGCAAGCCGCCAACCCAAACAAAATAGTTGCTTGGGTTAGAGCCGGTTTGGATCAAGATGTGTGGCGCCACCGTTGGCAGCGTGGGGCTTGTATAAACTGCGGCGAGTATGGCCATCAGCAGTTTAAATGCAAGAATGCTAAGGTTGTGCAGAAGATCCCGCCTAAGGGTGGGTATCCTTCTTCTGAGTCTAGAGCCTCTACGAGCTCCAATTCGGGAAACACATAGGGCCAGTAGAAGTTGTAGCTGCTTCTAATGTACCCTCCCCGGTCCAAGAGTTGTTCGGAGCTATTGACTCCTTAGTCACCCCACAGACGCATCCAAACCCAACTATACTCTGTACTTTGGATGTGTCTGAAGCCTTAGAGGACTTTCAAGGTGAGTGGTCGGCAAGGGACCCTCGTGAGTCCTGTGTGGCACTAAGTCGAGGTCCTAGAGGGGAACATTTCGTTGTGGAAGTCGGTGTGGATGGCTGCAAGTGCGGTGCCTTCATAGACATTGGCTAAACTTCATAAGTCGTGACTGTGTTGAGAGGCTGCACCTAAAGGACCGGGTGCAGAGCCTTAGTAGACCGGTGCATCTGCTTTGGCCAACAAAGAGCGCATGATGGTGGAGGACTACATGAAGGACGTGGTGTGCACTTTTTCCTACCTAGGAGGAGAACTAAAGCATAGAATATCATTCCTGGTGAGCGACGATTTACCTTTCAATATGTTGTTAGGAATGTATTACCTTGAGGTTGCCAAGCCCCAGTTTGACTGGGACAAGAAGGTGCTGAAGCAGAGTTGCCTAACGGCAGGACCGTTAGACTGGCTAAGTACAAAGCCAATAGGTTAATTAACTCCTATGGGTGCTTATGCGCACCTGCGTTCTGTAACTATTACAAACAGAACCAAGAGGAAGGTATGTACCTAGTCTCTGTCTCTGAGAAAGGGGAGGCCGTTAAAACACCCCCAGAGATAGAGAACATCATCACTAAGTACTCTGATCTGTTCGAGGAGCCTACAGGAGTCATAGACAGGGAGGTTGTCCATGCCATAGAAATAATCCCAGGTAGCAAGACACCTAAAGGTGAATCTATAGGATGGCTCCAGCCGAGTTGGACGAGCTTCGGCAACAACTGAAAGAGCTTACAGAGAAGGGTTGGATATGGCCTAGCATCTCCCCCTTTGGCTCCCCAAAGGGGGAACACTAAGGATGTGCATTGATTACAGAGGCCTCAATGCTATCACTGTTAAGAACGCAGAGCCTCTACCACGCATCGACGACCTATTGAATAGGGTGCAGGGATGTAAGTACTAGACTAAGATAGACTTAAAATTGGACTACCATCAAATTGCTATAAGACCAGACGACCAGCACAAAAACCGTATTCCAGACCAAGTACGGTCTGTATGAGTTTGTGGTGATGCCCTTTGGCCTTTGCAATGCGTCGGGTACATTCCAGCACACCATGAATAGGATCTTCCATGACTACTGAGATAAGTTCGTCGGCGTGTACCTCGAGGATATACTTATCTTTAGTAAGACTGTCGAGGAGCATGCTCAACATGTAGACAAGGTACTTTCACTCCTTCGGCAACACAAGTATAAGATAAACGCAGAGAAATGCGAGTTTGGTCGCACTTGAATCTTGTGCTTGGGTCATGAAGTCTCCGCGGATGGGATTAGGCCCGAAGATGCGAAGGTGGCTAGCATACATGACTGGCCACGACCCCAGTCTGTGACTGAGGTCAAATCATTCTTGGGAATGTGTGGTTATTACCGCAATATCGTAAAGAACTATAGCACGACCACATCTCCCTTGACTGATCTAACTCGACTTAATACACCATGGGACTGGACCGACGAGTGTGAGGCAGCTTTCAAGCGTTTAAAACATGCACTCACGCATCATGAGGTTCTCATGGTACCCGACCCACAAAGGCCGTTTGTTGTAACCACTGACGCAAGCCAATATGGCATTGGCGTAGTGCTGGCTCAACAGGAAGGGAAAAAGTTTAGACCGGTCGAGTACAAAGAAGTTGGCAAAGTCCACCTACGAGAGGGAACTCTACGCCCTCTACAAGGCACCTGTCCACTGGAGGCACTATCTGTTGAGAAGGTTCTTGTATTTGAGAACTGACCATCAGACCCTAGAGTGGATCAAGACACAACCAGTTCTCCCCGATGCACTCAAACGCAGGATTGAAGTCATAGATCAATATGATTTCGAACTAGACTATGTGAAGTGAGAGTACAACAAGGTTGCAAATGCATTGTCTCGTAGGGCAGATTACCTAGGTGCGCTGATTTTTGAGTTTGGCCTTTCTGAGGACGTTACTCGATCCTTGGGGGAAGCCTACAAGGAAGACCCCATCAGACATATTTTCGTCATAGTTGATAGGTTCACTAAGTTTGCTAGACTAACTGCCATGTCGACGACCGCCGGGACTGAACATGTCATCAAGTTATTCATCGATAATTAGGTGCGTGACTTTGGACTGCCAAAGACGATCGTTAGTGATAGAGATGTGTGTTTCACAAGTGAGATGTGGAAGAACACTGCTGAATAGATGGGCAGCCAGCTGCAAATGACTTTTGGGAATCATCCCGAAGCCAATGGACAGGCTGAACACATGAACCGGGTGGTGCAGCACCTGCCGAGGCATTACATTAAGCCCAGCCAAGATGACTGGGATGAGAAATTGCCTCTCATCGCCAGTCTGTACAATAACGCAGTACACAGCACCACCAGGGTCACCCCGAATCAGCTGCATCTTTTGTCGAAGCCTAGATCTGCACTAGACTTCCTCCTTCCTGAAAACCGACCTGCTGCAACTCCTGGAACCATTGAATTCGGTGTCCGGTACGAGAAGTTGCTGCAGCAAGCTGTCGAGAACATCAAGAAGTCTTAGGAAGCAATGATTGCTTTTGAGAACAAACATTGCCGATAGTCTACATTTCAGGTAGGGGAACATGTTTGGGTTAAGGCTAGTGAACTGGGACAGGAGTTCGACATCTCTAGGAAACTAATGCCTCAGTATTTCGGTCCCTGGGAAGTCCTTGATGTTGTGGGTGGTGAAATGGATGGTCCCTCGTACGTTATTCGTATCCCTGATCACTTACGCACTTACCCTGTTTTTCACGCCTCAAAGCTCGCTCCTTTCGCTGAGACGGAACAGTTCCCATCACGGAGATCTATGCTGCCCCCATCCATGGATGGCCACGTGGACGTCAACGATATCCTGGAGCACAGAGACATGCCTGTTCCCAAGCCAGCTGGCAGGGGTAGACCGCCTAAACCTGCAAGGGAGTACAGAGTACGGTTCAAGCATCATACGGATCCCAAGGAAGATCGATGGTTTACAAGGCAGGAACTTGTCAAGACAGCTCCTCAGATCGTGGCCGAGTATGAGAAGAAACTGAAGGGGAATGCACCAGCATGAAGCATCTCAGCGGGCTTTCGAAGCTAAGGGGGATGGAATGCGAGGAATGAGCCCTCACGGGGTCCCTATCAGACATACAGAGGCCCCCAGCAAGCCGAGTGCCCGCCCTAAGTGACGGCGGGCCTGAATATTCATCAGAGGCCAAAATTCGACATTTTCATATTTGGGTATTCAGGCTGTTGCAAACCGCCAGTTGGTTGAGCCTCACTAAGCTGCGTCGTACAGTTGGCCCAGGCATTGGCACATACACACGAAGCAGGGCCGATACATCATGAAGTGGCCGCCGGGCTATGCAAAAGCAGTACTGTCAACGCACCTACCCTGGGGTCCTGCACAAATGCAGCAAACGGCCCAAGTCTGGAGACTCAGGCCATGCCCAACTGTAACGGGCCCAGGCCCTCAACTGTAGTCTCGGGCCTGGGCACAGGAACTGAGGCCCAACCGGAAGCTACTGGAAGCTTCCAGCCAGGTCAGCATCCAGGAGGCTGCCACTTCCATATAGGAAGTGAGGCAGCCCAGGCCAGGCATTCTGGCCCGCGCAGGCAATGCAGTCACGCTGCTGCGTTGCTGTATTGGATGCTGCGCTGCGGCCAGTGCGCTTGCGGGCCGCGTTGAGGTGAAGAGGGGCACTGAAGGGCAGCGGTGCGCTTGCAGCCATAGCCGGGCTGCTGGGCTCTAGGGGGTAAGAGGGGGCGATCTGGTGGTCTTCAAGGAAGGAGGCAAGTGTGTGGGTTATCAAGGTCTGATGAGGGTGACGAGATATGTACCTGGTGCATGAAGAGAGGTCGGCTATGGTGTTGATATCATGTACATTGGTCTTCGAGAGTTGAAGTGAGCCTGTTTCGTGAACACAGCTGTAGGTAGGATAGTCGAATAGAGTAGGCTAGGCGCTGGGCGCCAGACAGAGAGGAGCGACTTTGGATACTATGTTGGTGTGGCCTGAGGGCTTGAGCATTGGCTCATTACTTCATTGTATTGCTCTATTTGGATGGATTCTCAATGAAATTGTGCTCTCTGCTTGTACACGACTACTTGGACATCTGTGTGATTTCACAAACTTGGTTTTCTGTATATTGTTCACACTCATATTCCTTGCACTATGGCCTCGCTCCATCATGGGATGCCTCGGGCCGCTCAGGTATATGCTGCTGGTGGCCCGTGACCATATAGGCTGGGAGGCTGCGGCTTCAGAGAGGCATTCCACATTCAGTGTCCGGGGCAGACAACAGAGACCGAGGCCGGTGAAGCGGCCAAGGCAAGAGAGACCGAGGCCGGGACGAGGCACCCTCGCACGACGGTTGGCGCGAAGACTAAGCATCTGGGGTCACATGGTTTTTTATGGAACTTGTTTGACGGACTTCTCATGGCATCGGCCGTTCTTGGTCTTCACGGTGGCGGTTGTTTGATGACCTGAGATTGACCGTGCACCTGCGTTCAGGTGGGATTACCAGGCCTAAATTTTATGCTGTTGCAGGGCCTGTGGCCTCGGTACCACAGGTACTCCATCATGGGATGCCTTGGGCCAGTCAGGTATATGCTGCTGGTCGCCCGTGACCATATAGGCTGGGAGGCTGCTGCTTCAGAGAGGCATTCCACATTCGGGGTCCGGGGCAGACAACAGAGACCGAACCAGTGAAGCGGCCAAGGCAAGAGTTGGATGTGTCTGTCGTCGTTTGTCCCCGTTTGTGGCAGCATGCAAACAGCAGCTGGTGCAGGGGTACAATCTGCTGTGAGGGCAGCACAGACATTCGGGAGTGAGCGAGTGAGTGGAATAGGAGGAGGAAGACTCCAGGTATGGTATAGAGAGATGGAGAATGAATGAGTGGCATGGAGGCTGAGTGTGTGCAGAGAAGAAACTGCTGTATCTGGCTGCAATAGCCACGAGATACATGCTGATCGTAGCTTGTGCATACCAACCATCGCAGATGAGTGCGGGAGAGCATGAGGGGGAGTAATCGAGAAAAGAGAGAAATAGTAAGAGAAGGGAGAGTAATAGAGGGATTGTGTGAGAGTGAAGCCACATTTGCAGGTACTCTTCAAGCTGCGTGCGTGGGATAGAGAGAATGAGAGAGCTGGGTGACCAGCATAATCACACTCATCTGGCCCTAAACGCGCCCTGATAATCACACTCATCTGACCCTGAATGTGCCCTGATACATCTGGCCCTCTCGCTGGGGGGATGATGAAACAGACAGGTGCGTGTGATCTTGGAATTGACAGAGTGAGAGGGCAAGGCTGCGAGAATAAGAGAGACAGTGAGAGAGAGGGAGAGAGAGAGACAGAGAGAGAGAGAGGGAGAGAGAGAGGGAGAGAGAGAGACAGAGAGAGAGAGGGAGAGAGAGAGACAGAGAGAGAGAGAGGGAGAGAGGGAGAGAGAGAGAGACAGAGAGAGAGAGAGGGAGAGAGAGAGAAGAGAGAGAGAGAGGGAGTGCACGCACATGTGCGCTGATGAGAGAAGAATTGAGTGGGAGAGAGAGACGAGCGGGAGTGAGGGCAGAGAAGTGAGGCTGAAGAGTGATAGGGATGAGCCAGTGGGAAAGGGGCTAGAGGCTGCCAAATGCTTCGTCATCTAATTAGTGACTCGCGTAAATGGATTACCGGGTTTTCCACTGTCCCTATCTACGACGGGCACACACAGATCTGGAGAGTGACGTGTTGGCACGTCAGCAGGCTGGAATTTGGAGGTAGAAGCAGATGCATACCCCCTTAACTCACCTTATCAGTGTTGTCACAGTGCGCAGATTTTCATTCTCGCTGCTTTATTACTATTATTAGTGAATAAATCATTGCTCAATGATCAGGGGCGGCTCCAGCCTTCTATAGACCAATGGTGGTGAATCTTCACATGTTCTAGCGACAGATTCGATCCGAGTTTTATGGTGAGTACGAAAGAACAACTGCCAGTTGAAGTCATAAAAAAAAAGCCCCTGGTCATTGCACGTGACGGCTCCACACGCAGCTGCAAAACACACCCACGCTCAAAATCAAGCGGTTTAAAACGAGTGTTTTCCAAATTCCCATCTCGGTAACCCCAACTAGGCAAAAGACAATGTGACCAAGCATTCATGTACTCTGACCAGACAGGTGATCATAAACACTTCGGTGATTATCCCCAATCAGGCTACCGAGCAGATCATGGCCAATGAGGCGGATAATAGCTAACCTGACGTTAGAGCCAGTCCTACGGACTGCACCCATTGGACAGATTATGATCGATCGGGCTATGCAGCCGACCGGGGAGATTACATTTCCGAAAGGGGCCCCTGTCAAGCAGTGAAAGCCAGCAGTCGCTCTGACTGGGTCTTATAGATGGTCGTTGCTGCTGACGAAAATCTTTTTTCCTGAAATTCTATAAAGGCTGCTCTGTCCTGCTCCTATCCAGCAATACTAACAATCTCAAAGGCGGCATGGAAGTCTGGTTTCACCTGCTCAGGAAGCTGGCTCTATGGGTAATCTGGAAAAGGTGTAGCAAGACTATCGAGGGTACTGAGGTGGCAAGGGAAGAAATGTGGGTTCTACTGCTGGGAATGCCTGAAACTGAGATTCGATCCAGATGGAGCGAGGTGACATCAACAACGAAAGTCAGACCAGAAAGATGAACCATCAAGAGACGGGCTTTCATTAGGAACTGGCTTCTACAGGGAAAGATAACAGATTGATTTGGAAGAAATGGCACAGCGCAACTCCAATAAGGACGATGAGCAAACGGAGATTACAATCTCAACAATATAGACAACTCTCATCTTTTCTTGCTTTACACGAATCATCTGGCAGAGTCACAGTAGATTCTGAGAGGAAAAGTGGTAGGGCAAGCGGACAGTGAATCCTCCGGATCTGGAGCAATCAATGCTGGTCAGGGTTCCTTCGGCCAGACGGAAGGAAGCGTGAGTGTTCACCATGTATCTCAATTCTTGACTTGCCGGTGGAAAGGAACCGGACTGACACTCCCCAGAATGGACATGGAGTCAGGACCATAAGGACCTGTTTCAAAAAATATAATAATAATAAAGGCTGCTCTGTTCCGGAATACCTCTTGGGTAACAGTCACCAATTAGTGTTCAAGTTGAGCACTTGGGGTGCGCATGTGACACACACACACACACACACACACACACACACACAGAGAGAGAGAGAGAGAGAGAGAGAGAGAGAGAGAGAGAGAGAGAGAGAGAGAGAGAGAGAGAGGAGGGATGAGACTGAGTGAGGAAGCAGCCACAATTGCGCAAGTAGCTTCAACTGCGGGTGACCCTTGACAAACCACTTCCACCAGATGAATGGGGAAAACGAGATTCATTTCGCACGGATCTCTGTTCCCGAATACCTCTTGGGTAACAGTCACCAATGAATGTTCAAGTTGAGTACTTGGGGTGCGCATGTGCCACAGAGAGAGAGAGAGAGAGAGCGAGAGAGAGAGAGAGAGAGAGAGAGAGAGAGAGAGAGGAAGCAGCCACAATTGTGCAAGTATTGACAAACCTCTTCCAACAGATGAATGGGGAAAATGAGATTCATTTCGCAATCTTGAGATGTTGGTGGGTCAACAGTTATTACTTTTTACTCGAAGACCAATTGAAGATCTGTTTCTATCTGGTGGCCTTGAAAACGGGCAATATGACCGTTGGGATTTCTGATTCGATATCGTTCAGACATCGTCCACACTCATAGCACGATTGTGGTATTTGAATGTTGACGGTTCTTCCCGGTCAGGCTTGGCCCAGAAACCGACAAGAGAAAAGCTTTGGGGAAAAGCTTCGGAGTGATATCGATCTTCAGACTGAATGCCACCATGGCGGCTCATGATTTTTGGAATGGACTTGAAGAACAACTGCAGCTGCTTTCTGATCAATGTGTGAATTTTATTTTAAAAATAAATAAATAAATAAAAAATTGGATCAGTCTTATGAACTCTGAAACCTTCAGATCGAGCTTGGGCCCAGATCTCAGATCTGCAGGCCAGGTCTGCATTTTTTTCTTTTCTTTTCTTTTCTTTTCTTTTCTTTTCTTTTCTTTTCTTTTCTTTTACTGTGTGCAGAAGCGGGCTTCAGGTCCAGCTCATAAGTAGGGTGTGTGACAGGCCAGTCAAAACCACACTCTCTGTCGCGCCGCTGACAACCTCTGAAGCGGGCACGGCAGGTGACAGACGCCACTGCCCAGGCTTCAGCGATGGACAGGGCACCCTCCCCGGATGTCCTCACACCGGTCCCAGACTGTCCCAGTAGGGCAGGTCTTAGGGTCCGTACGTCGGAGTGTCGTAAGTCGGTAGGAGGGGGGTACCGAAGCGTCGCAGACCGATAAAAGTCCGCCGGTACCTGCAGAGATAGTCAAGTCCCAAGTCCAAGTTTGCAGCAGCGTCCCAAGAGAGTCCGGAGACTTCCGGACCAATTTTGGCAAAGCAGAGGCCGCGGGCGACCGGTACGGGTCCGAAGCAGGCACGAGCAGTCAACTGCAAGTATATTTAGCTGCTACAGTGCCAAGTCAAATCGGTTGTTCATTCGTGAAAGTTGTGGAAGCGCTGCAAGCTGCTTGTGCGATATTGCGGCCTGGACAAAGGACGGAGCGCCGGGGAGGAGCAGGCACCCTGACGATGAGAGTCAGCCATAGCTAGTAGTAGAGAAGGAGGAAGACAACGGCCATACCCACCAGGGTTAAGCGACATCGCAGTTGTATTCAGGGTAGATCCTAGGGAGGGAGGGGGAGAGAGAGAGAGAGAGAGAGAGAGAGAGAGAGAGAGAGAGAGAGAGAGAGAGAGAGAGAAGTCAGGCATCAGGAGAGGGGGAGTTGAGTCCATACCTGAGTCGGGATTGCAGTGTTGAGTTGCGGTGGTTGCCACTGGACAGTTGAACTCTCCAATTGTATAATATCATACTTTTGAGTGGAAACATATCTGGCGCTGATTCGTGTGTTATGTCTCCATCGTGGTGTGAACTTTCATGTGACTGCTCTCATCTTGCATGTGCGAAGTGGTTTGATATTGTGAGGTTCATTGCACTATCTTGCCTATCTCTACCCCTGTCCATTCCCCTCCTCCTTCTGGCCTGCTCCGGACCCAGGGTCTGTGACGGCTGGGCCGGAACAGTGTCTGCAGGTCTTGTGGGGGACGTGACCCAAAACCAGCTTCTTCAGTCAGCTTTTATTGCTTGCAATTTATTACTCAATGGCATGATCTGAGAAAGCCATTCGTTGAAAATGTCTGAGAATTGCTCATCACTGGGGATGCCTGGCTCCGGAGAGAACAATCTCATGAAGAGTAATTATTAGAGCGGATATCCCAAATGGGTTGCGGTCATTGAATTGCTCCTGATGTCAGAAAATTGAAGTTTTCTCTGACTTCTCAAGCTTTTTGTTGGCAATCGTCTGTGGCCGATTGCTGTGTGCCCGTTGTGGGGTGTGATCACCTGATATGAGGTCTTTTTTTTCATTCTTGTTCATGCACTTGGGTGTTTCGGGCCCACTTTTGGGACTACAGGCTATAAGGTGGCTGGCATTTCCTGTCTGCCATTGGGTTGTTCTTGTTGTCCATGAGGCAATTGATCCGAACTGCTTGGGTGTTGGCGGATTCCTGGTTGTATTATCACGTGTGTCCTGTGTGCATTCTTCTCTATTTTAACCAGGGATAGCAAGCCCACTGAAGCCTATGAATTCTTCAGGCTCGTCGGGGTATTTCACCGGTGCATCCGGCATGCGACGGGTAATCTCTTCGGTAGACATCTTTCCGTTTCCAACCAGAGACGGGTCAAATCTTCCACTGCGGGTGTCCGCTGAAATTCCCGGAGTAGTGGCATCATCATCTCCTGCTAGGGAGATGTTGCAACGCCAAGGGCCTGGGTCTGTGCCATCATTCAATTTTGGAGGGCAGTTTATCAATGCAGGGGCCATGTTGCCAGCTGGGTCATCATTTTCGCTTGGACCGGGAGAGAGGGATGATCCACAGGACATTCGGGAATCACCTTGGTTTCGGTGGTGCTGCAAATCTTTCAGAAAGGCGAAACTATATGGGGATGAAACGGATGCCTCCACAAATATCGAGAAAAACGAAGTGGATGCACAGCAGTTTATCAAGGAATGGAGTAATCCTATGTGTGCAAGTAAGTAACTACTCTGTAAGTCTTATCTTTCATGAGTTTCTGAATTCCCTGCCGTCAAAAGAAGGGGCTGAGGAGGCGGAGAAGCCTCTGACCTTGTCAACTCAGTTTGAGATCGGAAATTGTAGTCACTGTGGACCAGAACACATTTGGAATCCAAAATTTCTGGACCATCCTCACACCTGGATCTGATTCAAACCAAGGGGAACACTTTTTTTATTTTGTGTTTGTTCCCTACTCAAGTATGGTTAGCGTTTATCCTCAACCAGAAGTTGTTTGTAGTGGAATTCTACACGTCTTCTTTTTTGAGGAGGGGATGCTTCTGAAAGTTTCTTGAAGAAATGAATATTTGGAAACCATTTTCGGGAAAATCTCAGCCAAGATTGGTAAACACCTATGTTACCTGATTGGCTCGGCTGGGCCCGCCCGGCCGGGCAACCTGGGCTAACCTGTCCGTGTACCCAACCGCCCGGGGCACCTGGGCAGATCTAAAATGGTGTTCTTTTTTTATTATTTTTTTCTCCTAACCAATTGTGAGGCTTGTTTGCGCTCACAGACTCTACCGGTGTGCTGCTTTTTTTTCTTCACATGTTGATGTTTGCCTGGAGGGAGTAGTCCCGCTGGCAAAGAGGATTGCACTAAGAGCAGGAATCTGGATGTGTTTTGTGTGAAGCTGCGGAAATGCAGTTCAATCGCGATCTTCTGCACCTCTCCCCAAACACGTCCAGATTCAGCCCTTAAATCCAAACCTCTCTGCTAGTGGGACTGCGCCCCTACCATCTTAACCCGAAAACAAGGTATGTACCTTGTATTCAAGTTATGTCCGAAAAACGGGTCCTGAGAAATTGCTGCTAAAGTTTTGAAAAGGAGGTACCATCGAATAAAAGGTACGTACCTTGTATTCGTGGTGTCACTGGTGTGCCTTGTCTGTTGCGAATAGAAGGTACCTGCAGGCTCTGAAGTCTACTTCGCGTGAGCTCTAGAATTTCACGCAGTCCACGCTGCAGCCCCATCCTGGTAGCAGTCAACGCGCGTCATGTTCGCCTGTGCAAGTAGGGGACTTGCAGTCGCACCAGGTAGAGACCCGGTCCATATACTTGCTGTTCATTTATCCCGTCCTTATCTAGACTAAAAGTAGTCCCAAATACAGGCGATTGCATGTGAGCCAGCGCGTTGCCTGCTGAGCTTCTGCCAGATTGTCATCGCATCCGTGGGAATAAGGGAGAGGTAGTGGGCTACTTTTTTTTGCCTTTTCTTTTTTTTTAACGTAGCGAGCTACTTACGGGAAGCTGTTTCAAACAGTTACACCAAGTGAGAGTTGTATTCTATTCCTGATATTATTTCTAGTATTTACTATTTTTCTCTTTCTTTTTTCCCTTGCCTAAGTTGCCTTAGGAAAGTTGCACTCTAAAACTCGTTTCGGGTTGAGACGGTAGTGTGTGTGTGTGTGTGTGTGTGTGTGTGAGTGTGTGTGTGAGTGAGTGTGTGTGTGTGTGTGTGTGTGTGTGTGGTCATATTCGCTATGCACAACTCCACAACAAAAAGCATGACTGCACCAGACTGTTTCGTTGGACTTTCACCGACTCAGCAGGAGGTTGAACCCCAACAGTCTGCCCAGTATAAATTTGATTGATGGACAAGGACTCGCCACGTCGGCCGAAGTTAGCGATACCCCTGAGAAAAGTGGTTGACTTCAATCACATCAGCCTTGCAATCCTAGCAGGCTGCTGGTCCAAACCCCTCGCAAAAATGGCAGCAAGTCTGAGAAACTAATTTGACACAGTCATAAAACCTACTCGTCACAACCACTCAGCCATGGATATCCAATGGCACGGCCACTAGTACGGTCCCGACCCTAGCCGCACCGGTCCGCCTGAACGGAGAGCTTAGCAAGGCCGTGTGTGTGTCGTCATATTCACTATCTACAACTCCACAAAGAAAAGCATGAATGTGCCAGAGTGTTCCGCCGGACTATCACCAACTCATCAGTTGGTTGAACACCGACAGTCTGCCCAGGATGCATTGACTGATGGGTAAAGGACTCACCACGTTGCCCAGAGTTAGCAATACCCCTGAGAAGCCCTGCAATCCTAGCAGACTGTCGGTCCGGTGTGTGTGTGTGTGTGTGTGTGTGTGTGTGTGTGTGTGTGTGTGTGTTTGTGTGTGTGTGTGTGTGTGTGTGTGTGAGAGAGAGAGAGAGAGAGCACAAAGAAAGATATGCATGGGTGAGCTAGTGAAAGCGTCCAGATTCAAGAATAGTCGTATGGGATAAACTCCAATAGAACCGTCTGGCACAGTCACACATTTTCTGTGGAGTTGTGTATAGCGAACATGGCAACTGCAATATCCCGCCTGATATGCCTGAAGTGGCCCTCAGGCCACACGCAGGTCGCGACCCCGGTCTGAGGCCGCAAAGGCCAAGGGGAAAAATTCTCTTGTTGACCCAGGGCCTGTGCGCCTGACTGTTGACTTTGGTCAACTGCCCAGCGGGCCAGAGTCAAAGTCTGTATGTACCCAGCCCAGGCCGCTGGTCAGACTCACACACTTGTTTGTATGCAGGTACAAAGACAGCATCAGGACCAAGTGAAAGTCTGCAACTGTACACAATCCAGGCCCTCGGCTGTGAGTCAATCTGGGCCACTTTCGGTGGGAGACCTGAGGCAGGTCAACACGGTCAATCACTACATAAGACCCTGCCTCCAGGGGGTCAACATTCAGTCTTTCTATGCTGCCTTGACGCTAGCTGGACGCTGGCTTGATGCTGGCTTGACGCTGGCTGTGTGCTGGCACTGTGGACAATGACGTAAGACTGAGGCAGCATGCTGGCGCCTTCGCTGCTGAGCGCCAGCCTCTGCTGATGTGGTGCATGCCACCTGTCTTCATTGCTGATGTGGTGCATGCCACCTGTCTTCATCGCTGATGTGGCATTGGCCACGCTGTCTACATTGGGTGACTGGACGCGACAAAGAGGGAGATCGGAATTTGTGGATGATTGAGGAGGATCGGGATACTTACCTGAGGTTGATGTCGATACTGTTCGCTGTTGATTGTCTCGAACGTCTTCACGAGAGGACTGTGCCACGTGGCACTTCAGTGTGATAAGGATTTGTCAGGCTCGTTACTGGATACTATTTTGCTGACTTGGAGGCGAGGGGAAGCCCGGAGAAGGAGCGGGAAATGTTGGGCTACTCTCTGTGTGGTCATTGATGATTACTATCTCCTCCACCTTCTAATCTGTGTATTCCCCCTCCACTCTCTTCGTCAACTGGAAATGAGACATTGTATTTGAGATCACATTCATGATTATTGGGGACATTGTTCACAGTTGAGTTACTTTGTATTTCGACATCTGGCGAGTATCTTACAGACTGGGTTCATTACAATTTGGTATTGGAGCTTACCTTCTTCGTCGCAATCTGCTGTTAGGTGCCACGTGGCACCCAGGTAAGTGGGAGGTGCTGCACGTGTAAGGGATGAAACGCGTTTATAAACGCGCACGATTAATATCACAAGTCTAGACATTGAGTGCCACACGTGCGTGCAGCCCCCCTTGAAGATGATGACGTGGACACTTTGAAGAGGAAGACGGCGACATTGCTTTCCGTGGCGCTTTGTTGCTTATGTGGCATTGAGATACCGGCGAGAGTATCGTTGGCAGCAGGCTGACGTGGAGCTGGTAGATGAGAGAGAGAGAGAGAGAGAGAGAGACAGTGGATATTGGGACAGCTGATGTGGTGCGCTGCCTACGTGGCATGGCGCAGGGTTTCTGACATGGCATCCTACTATTGGCAGGGCATCGTCTGACGTGGCACACACCTGTATTGCGACTTACCTGCTGATGTGGCGCTCCACACTTCAGCAGTGTTCCTGCGATCTGACGTGGCGTACCAGTGTTGGATGAGTTGGCAGTCCAGGCATTGTTGTGTTACGATCCTGGTCATTCCCAAAGTGCAAATTCACAATGAAAGACAACGCCACCCAATTGCGAAAGAAATGAAAGCACTTGCAAAGAGATAGAGACCAGAGAAGAGGGAAAGAAGAAGAAGAAGATGTACACCAGCAAGACCAATGACAAATCCTCCCTTCTCTCTCCACCTTCCTCCTCCTCCTTAACCTCTCCAATCTTATTTTTCTTCCCAGTAATAATAATAACAATGAGTGGATGAACCAGAATCAATATCCGAAGTTCCCTCTTACTGCTGACTCAACAACAACAACAACAACAAGTCCACCATAGCTATGGCTTCCCTCCTTCTTCCTCCTCTCACATGCCTAGGCTATGGCGGACTACYGAGGGCCCTGCCCTCCTGTCCAAAGGACAACCCAAAGCAGCTATGGCGCTGCACTCCTGTCCAAAGGACAACCCAAAGCAGCTATGCCGCTGCTGACTAAGCCGCCATGCCTGACTCTGCCTCGAGCTTCCTTGGTGTGGCACTACCCCAACTGGGGCCTTCCAGATGCAGCGCCCAACAAGGTGATGAAGATGGTGTCCACCATAGCCAGGTAGGTGCCTCGCCACTCTCCTCCTTCGCTCCCTTCTTCCTCCTCCTCAGGCTGGGCTGCTCGCCATAGCCAGGCTGAGCGCCCAGCTGCCCTTCACCTCCAGACAGCGTTGTACCAGCCCAGCGCTTCGCTCAGCAGCATGTCGCCAATCCTTGCATACCACAAATGAGGAGGAACTAGTTGCTCCTCCGGAAGATATAGCGGCCTACTGGCCTCTTGGGCGGTGACTTCCAAGGCCGAGCGGCCTCCCATCAACCGGTGCCTCCTCCCTTTCGGAAGGAAACATCATTGCAGGCTCTGCTATCATCCGGACAGGCCCTAGACCCGGGCTACTGGGACTGGTACCGGCCTACCTCTATCCTACCGCTATTGGGCCTCTAAAAATGTCAACTTTTTGTCTTCTTCTGCTCGGCCTCCAGTACCTGACACTCCTACCACTACTTGAGTGGTACCGGCCTACCTGCTACTTGAGTGTTTTTCCCGCTGCAACCCTCAAAGTC